CATCTTCCAATTACAGTCTTGCTCACTTTCATCAGCATGTCCCCTTATTCTCAGACCCTTCTGTTTCTTTTATCTCAAGAGGTGTGTTAATGCTTCCAGTAATTTTCCAATCAAAACTATGTTAGTCCATCTCATTGCAACATGTGCTATGCAGTTTTAGGACACATAGGTTCTGTTGAAGCCATCATTGAATTTTGGAGGGATATCACGATAAAATAGCAACAAAGCCTAAAATAGTTCATTTGAGATAATCATAAGAGAACAAACCCACCTTTTGGAAAGTACTTGAAAGAAACACAAATTAAAATAAAATCCTGCCTGTTGTTTGGATATAGTGTTATGGGGCTATTTTAATAGTATTTATTTGGATAACCAGTGATATTCTCTCCTGACAGAAGATAAGCTTTTAGATAAAACAAGAATTAATAAAAATCACATGTCAAATAACCATGGTATCCACAGAGATGCACAAGTCCATATATTGCGATGTGAGAAAATACTGAAATTTCTATTTCTATTATTTTACCTTATCCTTATATAAGGTAGTATATTAATATACAATTTATAAATAAGAAACATGCATAAATGATAGTGTATACTCAATCTTTTTTATCTATAGGGTATTCAGTCCAAATGTTTGGCAACAATTGCCAAATGATGAATTTGTTCCTGTATAAATAAGAAGAAATTACATAGCTATAAAATGTTGTATCAAACAGTGGGAAGCAGCAGCCATAAATTGTGAAGTTCTAAGTGAAATGCTACTGAATGCATTTGGTATGGCACTCAGTGCAATGCCATCTGAAGAAAGATTCCTAATAAGTAGCAGGATTTCCCAGTCAGGAAAAAATGTTAGAGACCAACTAGTCCAAATCTTATTTTAGACATGATTTACCTGAGGTCCAGAGAAGATAAATCATATTTTATATGTCACATGGGTAGTTCATAGCGATAAAGCAAGGTATAGAACCCAAATCTCCCAAACTTCTTTGTCTTCCTACTACACACGCACACACACACACACACACACACACACACAAACACAACCTTTCTATAGATAGATATAAATATACATAGATATATAGATATGTATATCTATGTGGATCTCTCTCTCATATATGTGTGTGTTCATATATAAAGACCCTCTCTATTTATATGTGCCATGTAACATATATATGAATAGAGAGTGTCTTTGAAATCAAGCAGTAAGCCAACCTAGTATTCTCGCTATTTTATTTTATCCTTATATATCCATATCTTTGTTTTTTCCTTTTTTAACCTTCCTAAAATCACATCTTACTGCAGAAAGTAGAATGTTTTCATCTTGTTAATTTTAAGGCCAATCTAAAGGAAAACAGTTTAAGTCCAAAGTTATTCCTATATTCACCCATCTCCTCTAAGAGAAACAAACTCAAAACTCTAAATGTCATTATTTCTTGCTAGTAATCCTCTGAGAACAGCCCAATATAAGAAACGTGTACTCAAAACCCAAAGAAAATGAAAGGTGAAATGAGCTGGGAGTGGATGATACAGAAGTTTAATTGCAAAGACAATATCAGAATTAAAAGATCATTCTTAAGAGATGAGAAGAAAGTAAGCCAGAAAAAAAAAAAAAAAAAGCAGATTCTATATGAATTCCTCATATGAGCCTGATTCTGGGGTTGAATTTTTCCAAAGCTCTCAAAAATACAATGCCATGACTATGACATAATTCAGATCATGTCTTTAAGAAAGAAGCTAAAGAGAAATAAAAAGTATTTATCCAGGTGATTCAAATCAATTCTTAATATCTTGCTCACATTTGTGTAGTCTCTTCACAATATTTACAGGTCGTGTTTATGATATTTGACTGCATTCAAAGACACTGGTTTCAACTATGGCTATGGCACTTAGCCAGTTTTGTCATATAATGGGAAAACTTAATCTGCCATGTTGAGTGGGGAAGATTAAATGGCATAATGCAGTTAATTGCTTAGCAAAGTACAGGCATATCTTACTTCATTATGCCTCCCTTCACTATACATGGCAGATATTCTATATTTTACAAATAGAAAGTTTTGTGGCAACGCTGTATAAAGCAAGCCTATTAGCACAATTTTTCCAACAGTATATGTCTGACTCAAGTCTCTGTCACATTTTGGTAATTTTTGCAATATTTCAAACTTTTCCATTACTGTTTTATGTGTTATGGTGATCTGTGATCAGTGATATTTGACGTTACTATTGGAATAATTTCAGGGGAGCATGAACCACACCCAAAGAAGACGGTGAACTTAATAAAAATATGTGATTTGACTGTTCCACCTACCAACCATTGCCCTCTGTACTTCTCCTCTGTATTTGCTGACATGCAAAAATATTGAAATTAGGCCAATTAATAACCTGACAATGGCTTCTAACTGTTCACGTGAAGGGAAGAGTCAAACTTCTCTCAATTTAAGTCAAAATCTAGAAATGATAATTAGTGAGGAAAGCATGTTGGAAGCTGGGATAGGCTGGAATCTAGGCCAAACAGCCAAGTTGTGAATGAAAGGAAAAGTTCTTGAAGAAAGTTAAAAGTGCTAAGGAAGTTAAAAGTGCTACTCCAGTGAACACACCAATGATAAGAGAGTGAAACAGCCATATTGCTGTTACAGAAAAAGTTTCAGTCATCTGGATAGAAGATCAAAACAGCCACAACATTCCCTTAAGTCAAGACCTCGACTTTTTAATTTAATGAAGGCTGAGGGAGGCGAGAAAGCTGCAGAAGAAAAGTTGGAAGTTAGCAGATGTTGGTTCATGTGATTAAAAAAAAAAAAAAGCTGTCTTCATAACATAAAAGTGCAAGGTGAAGCAGCAAGTACTAGTGTAAAAGCTGCAACAAGTTATCAAAGAGACCTAGCTTACGTAATTCATAACAGATAAGTCAATATAGATGAAGCAGCATTCTATTAATAAAAGATGCCATCTAGGACTTTCATAACTAGAGAGGAGAAGTCAATGCTTGGCTTCACGCTTCAAATCTGATTTTCCTGTTAGAATCTAATATAGCTGATGACTTCAAAGTGAAGCCAATCCTCATTTACCTTTCTGGAAATTCTAGCGCCCTTAAGAATTATGCTAAGTCTACTCTGCCTGTGCTTTATTATTTGAACAACAAAGCCTGATGACAGCACATCCATTTACAGCACATCTGTTTACTGCATGGTTTACTGAATATTTTAAGTTTATTATTGAAATTTCTTGCTCAGAAAAAAAGATTCCTTTCAAAATATTACTGCTCATTGACAATGTACCTAGTTACTCAAGAGCTGTAATGGAAATGTACAAAGAGATTAATACTGTTTTCACAACTGTTAACACAACATCCATTCTGCAGCCTACAGATCAAGGAGTCATTTTGACATTCAAGTTTTATTATTTAAGAAATATATTTTTGTAAGGCTATATCAGCCATAGATATTGATTCCTCTGATGAATCTGGTTAAAGTAAATTGAAAACCTTCTGGAAAAGATTCACCATTCTGATGCCATTAAGAATATTTGTGATTCATGGGAGGAGATCAAAAATATCTCTAACTAGATATTGGAAGAAGTTGATTCCAACGTTTATGAGCAACTAAGAAGGATTCAAAACTTTAGATGGAGGAAGTAACTGCAGATGTGGTGGAAACAGCAAGAGAACTAGAACTAGAAGTGGAACCTGATGATGTGACTGAATTGCCACAATCTCATGATAAAACTTGAACAGACGAGGGGTTACTTCCTACGGATGAAGAAAGTGTTTTTTTTTTGAGATGGAATCTACTGGTGAAGATGCTATGAACATTGTCAAAAAGTTGGACAAAGGACTCCAATTTTGAAAGAAGTTATATGGTGGTTATTAAAATGCTATAAAATGACGTTGCATGTTACAAATAAATATTTCGTTAAAGGAAGTCAATTCTTGCAACATTATTGTCTTATTTTAAGAAATTGCCACAGTCACCCCAACCTTCAGGAACCACTACCTTAATCAGTCAGCAGCCATCAACATCGAGGCCAGACCTCCAACCAGCAAAAAGATAAGGAGTGGCCGAGCGCGGTGGCTCATGCCTGTAATCCCAGCACTTTGGGAGGCCGAGGCAGGTGGATCACCTGAGGTCGGGAGTTCCAGAGCAGCCTGGCCAACATGGTGAAAACCCGTCTCTACTAAAAATACAAAAATTAGCCAGGCATGGTGGCAGGCGCCTGTAATCCCAGCTACTCCGGAGGCTGAGGTAGGAGAATCGCTTGAACCTGGGAGGCGGAGGTTGCGTCATTGCACTCCAGCCTGGGCAACAAGAGTGAAACTCCATCTCAAAAAAAAAAAAAAAAAAAAAAGGAAAAAGATTAGGACTTACTGAAGGCTCAGGTAACCGTTGCCATTTTTTGGCAAGATTTTTTTTGTTTTTAATTAAGAGAGAGAGAGAGAGATACACATTCTGTTTTTTAGACACAATGCTATTGCACATTAATAGACTACAGAATAGACAACTTTTATATACACCGAGAAGCCAAAAAAATGTCATGGCTTGCTTTATCGAGATATTTGCTGTATTGTGGTGGTCTGGAACCACGCCTGCAGTATCTTCATGGTATGTCTGTATCTTGCACATGATTATGTATATATAAAATTCTACTCCTTGATTCACAGGCCTCTGGATAAGAGATAGGACGTGCCCAAGGTCTCGCAGTTCATGTGAGGTAGGAAACTTAGAGACCCAGACTTCCTCTCTAAGGAGACTGAAAGGTGATGCATTTTAGTGAGTAGCGAGTAGCGATTACAGAATTTCTAAAACAGTGGGCAGTAGGGGGGAGGGGGGCAGGAGGGGCTGGAATTAGCCTCCAGCGCATCCAAGGTTGTTGCTGTCAGAGAAATCCAGCAGGAACCGGCAGCTTTCTTTCACCCCTTCCCCGTCTGAGGCGGAGGGGAACTTCATTTCCCATCAGGCCTTAGGAGGCCTCCCGCGCACGGCACTGGCGTCCCTGCTTTCTGCTTTCCGGCGCTCTGCTTTCCGGCGCATCCTGTACGACAGTTTAACCAGAGTCCCAAGGTTGAGGCCGAGATCCACGACATGGGGTCTGAGACATCCCAACCTCTTCAGTCCTTCAAGATCGATGAGCCTTCTGATACCGCTGCCGCCCCCGCCAAGCCTGCGCCCGCCAAGCCTGCGCCCCCAGCTACACCCGGAGCGCCGAACTCCCCAGCAGGACCCCGCCTGTTTAATAACTGCTGGAGCTGTCGCTTGCTTTCTGGGTTGGGGCTGCTGGGGGCGGGCGGATACGTGTACTTGGTGGCACGGAGGCCCATGAAGATGGGATATCCCCCGACTCCAGGGATTATTACTCAGATGGTCATCGGCATCAGTGAGAATCAGGGCACTGCACTTGGGCGGGTCGGGGATCTGGGTGGTAGAAGAGGGAAATAGTAGCCACGTGGGCAGGGAGGCGGGAGGCTTTCGCTGGTCACGTGGTGGGGGCACCTCAAACAAGGTGGGGAGAAGAAGTTGGAACGCCTTTCTTTTTTAATTTTAAATCAGCAGTATTTCTTGAGAACCCTTATTAGGCTCAGTCCTTTTAATTCTCAGTGTAGCTGTTAGAAATAGGTATGATTATAATCTCATTTTACTACGGAGCAAACCGAGGCAAACAGGAGTACTGTATTGTGTTCATGGTCGGGGAATGACAGTCACTCGATCCCAGGTATATCAGATCCCAAAGCCCATACTTTTTCTTCAGGTCCTGGAGAAGGCCTGAGCAAGGGCAGTTGACCTTAGTTTAAGAAATTTGCCTTAAAGCCCACAGCTTTAGACATGGGTTCTAAGCTCACCTACTTGGTACACTTGGGCAGCGTGGCCCACAGTCCCATTCTGTGATCGTCAAGATGTCATCCAGTAAAATGTAATGATTCTTTTAGCTTTCAAACCGATTGTCAGTGAATAGAATTCTGTCTTACTTTCTTGATCCTGTATAGTTAAATTCTACAGGATGTTCTTTTTTTTTCTTAAAGAATTTTTTTTTTCTTTCTCTTTGCTTCACTCACCTATAAGAAAGATAGAATGGTAACATGTCCTCCAGAAGTGTTGTGAGGGTTAAATACTTGGTAAATGAAAATGCAGCATACAGGTAAGATACTGTTGTTTTTTTCCTAGGCATTGCCACCTGGGGTATCGTTATCATGGCAGATCCCAAAGGGAAGGCCTACCGCGTTGTTTGAAAGTACCACCAGTCAATTTGTCTTCTCCTGCCCCTGTCCCCTTGACACACAGAGCAGACATGGAGTTTATGGACAGACACTTGTACGTGGACAGACCTCAGTACTTTGGATACTACAGGACTAAAAAGACAATTATAAGTTGTCATTCTCTGGCTATGAGTGTTTGTGGCTGTCAGAGGTTTCACAGGAACCAATAAATCCCTGGGAGAAGTAAACAGGTTCTGTGTCTTCTCTGGGAAGGGGAATATAATTTATATTTAATTGTTTAATTACTTAAACATTATATAATTGTATGTCTTATTGCATATCATATTATAAACAAATATGTTTAGTTATATAGTTAATATAATTTTTTAAAACTTTTAAATAAAGGGAATGATAAACCAATGGGAAAATTAGCTATTTTTATTATTTTAAAGAGTTCTTTTTATTTCTTCCATAATTGGATCAACACCTGTTACCAACCTAACCATGGGTGGGCCCCATGCAATATATAGAAGTACATGAAACTTTCTATATATCTACTGCTCATACTTTGTAAGGCATTTTCAAATCCATCTTATGAGCGTCACAGCTAATCTGAGGTAGTTACTTCATTGGAGATAAACCCAAAACACAAGAAAGAGCCCACATGATTTGCCTAGGGTCATTCAGTAAGTCAGTAATGGAGCTAGAACTTGTCAGTTTTTTGTTTTAGTCTTTCATGGAGGTAAGAATAATCATTATGAAACAGATAATCATAAAAATCAGTATATAATAAAAGACAAATATCACAAGAAAAATTCAAAACCTTTAAAAAAAAAAAGATATTTTGATCTTTTCCCACAAGTTATGTTTCTGCAATGATTTTGAGATAAATACTCAAACATACGTAGTTCATTTCTAAGAGAAGTCCATGTTTTCTACCAGTTGGGTTTTGTTACCCTGAGATACTATGACTTCTTTGTAAAGGTATATAAAGTCCTTTTTAAAGCAGAAAGACACTTAAATTCAGCTGCTAATCATAGTGTGTATGTTTGGAATGACAGGTTGAGCAAGTAGTACCTTCCAGGCTGTTGCTTTTTGCAGTATTATGTGGAAGTGCCTACATCTATTTAGCCTCACAGATGACTTTAGTATCTTGTATTTTCTACATCAGCGTTCTTAGTGGGGATAGTGCTATATATGTCTATGCAATTGAGAAGGAAAGCATTTCAAACCTAAAGAAGGCAACACAATATTATTTACATGAAATCCAAAATGCAGTTATGCAGTGTTCATAACTATAGAAGTTTTAAGTTGGAAGGGACCATAGATGACCCAAAGCAGATCACATATGGTCATTCATATACCTAAAATACCTACAAAGATAGTTGTTCCCTGCTTTAAAAGGCAGTCTGTTCTACTGATGAACTGCTTTAGTGTGAACATTTCCTTAGGTTAAGCCAAAAACACATAGACCTAACTTATTGGTCTTGGCTTGACCTACTGGGTAAACAATAACTCTTAAACATATACAATTGACCCTTGAACAACACAGGAGTTAACAGCACTGACCATTTGCTCAGTGGAGAATCTGCATATAACTTGACTTCCCAAAAACTTAACCAGCAGTTAGTCTACCATTGATTGGAAGCTTCATTGATAACATAAAGCAGTTAACACATATTTTTTGTGTTGTGTTATATACTGTATTCTTACAAGAAAGTAAACTAAAGAAAAGAAAATGTTATTAAGAAAGTAATATATTCACTATTGATTAAGTGGAAGTGAATCATCCTAAAGGTCTTCATTCTCATCTTCCTGCTGAGTAGTCTGAGGAACAGGAGGAAGAAGAGTGTCTTGCTGTCTCAGTGGCAGAGGTGGAAGAAAATCCACATAGAAGTGGACCAGTGCAGTTCAAACCTGTGGTGTTTGGGTCAACTGTATTATAATAGCATTTTAATGTTTTTCTCAGACTTTTACAAGTGTGAATCTGAGCTTTTTCTGAATAAACCTGACTTCTTGCCATTAATAATGCCAAAGTATCTGTGTTTGGTTCTTCCCAACTTGGAACAATTTGACTAAGTATGGGCAAAATATTGTTCTACCATGTCTAGAATGTGGGAAGAAGCAGAAGGAAAATCTGCATTTGTAGTTAAAAGTTGTTTGTTTTTAAGCGTACTGTAAAATCTGATTTCTGCCAGTGCTAACCCAGAAATCCAATTTTGTTTTAGGGATGAGTCTGATCTTCACAGAGAGGTTTCAGAGACAAAAGAGACATCACCTTAATCTTTCAGTACAGAGAGTTCACTTAGCATCCCCAGTATCTTTGCTTTTGTTGAAGATGAGGTGGAGTAAACAGGATAAATGGGCTCCAGGATCAATGGATTATAACTCAGTCATGTAAGAATACCAGCTTAATTATGATTTGTAGACTTTAGAATCCCTTTACAGCATGGAAAAGAGAGTTTATAGTCTCATTATTACCTATAGCAAAAGAGAGAAGAGAAAAAGTACAAAAAGTAATTTAAAATGCACTTACACATTTCTGTGGGATCCAGAGACCAAAATGTGAACATACATGTGAATGCCGACTTTTATCAGTGTCCAAGATAGTAGCTCAACCTATATATAGTGAGTATAAACAGTGGTATCTCGAGATGTTCAAGAAATCATTACACCTTCTTTTGTTCCTATTTGTATTGCATTGACTAGTCTGTAACATTGTGGTCAGCTAGCAAAATGAACATATTAAAGGACCCATAGACAGACTGACCCTCAAGAATCTGCGTAAGATAGGGGAAGGGGATGAGAGATCTCTTTTTTTTTCCTAGGCCAGTTGTGGAGACAGCTGTTGGCAGCTCTGGAGTCTCCCAAATGCAGAGCAGTTTCAAAAAAGTTTCTGGAGTTTTACCTGGCTGAGACCAGTTGCAGAGACAGCTGTTTCTGGTGGCCGGTAGTTAAGCATCTCAACCATGATTTGTACTTCAGCTCCACCCGCAGCTTAGCATTTGCTCCCTGCTCCTTTTTATGAATGGTTTCTCGGCCTGGCTGTGTCTAAGCTAGGAGCCTCCTGGAAGAAGCCAGTTGATTTGACAACATAAAATACGTACTCTTTAATTAAATATGTACAGGGCAAGTATACGTTTACATACCTCCTGAAACCAGGCTTGGCCTCAACTGATTTATTGCCAGGACTACATTACTATTCTTAAATATTAAAGAATAGTAAACAATTTTAGTTGAAAAGCTGCTTTTTTCTTGTTTTTTTATTTTTGTTTTTTTTAGTGACATAAATTCTTGCCCTGACCCAATAATTATGTAGGTGTTAGCACAACTCGAAGGTGAAAGACCCATAATTGCACATCATTCAGAGGTGTCCTAAGAGCATGAGGCAAAAATATGTCACTCTTCTAAACTGCATATCTCTTGATTTTGAAATATTCACAACTTGTCATTCAAATATAAATGGAGTGTAGAGAAATAGCCAAAGGGTCAAATGTTAAATGCAGCAATGCCACAATAAAATCACTGCTCAGTCCTGTGGCTGAACATGCATGTGTTTCAGGAATGTGGTAGAAGGGTCTTAAGATAGTCCCTGTCTCTACCCCTTGGGGTACACACACCTCCCAGTTATTCAGTCAAACACCATTCTAGATGCTGCTGTGAAGGGATTTTGCAGATGTAATTAAGGTACCAGATCAGTTGACCATAAAATGGATTAATCAGAAGGTCTAATCATATGAGCCCAGTAAATCTTCATCTGGAAGTCAGAGACAGGACAAGTCAGATTACAAGCATGAGGAGGATTTAGTGCTCCAGAAGTTCTTTGCTGGCCTGTAGAGAACAGTTCACATCTATGTTGTGAACTGCCTCTGGGGGCCATGTGGCAAAGAACAGCCAGCCTGAAGTTGCTGAGAGGAGCCCCCAACTGACAGCCAGAAGAGAAATGACCTCAGTTTTATAACGGCAAGGAAATGGATTGCCGCCTATGACCTGTGAACTTGAGAACCAAGAACCACTACTCCGAAAAGCAGCTTGGCTTCAGCCTGGTAAGACCCTAAGCATAGTACCAGTCATATGAAACTGAGACAAATTTGTGTTAACTAGCTGAGTTTGTGATATTTTATTTCACAGCAATAGAAAACTAATACAAGGAATAGAGGTGTTTTGTGGTGGTATAGTCATAGTAGGTGGTACATGAGACTAAATACCATTCTGTATATTCAGGAAGTAACCAAAAAAAGCCATTTATTTCTAAAGCATTTGTCTTCCCAGTAACTAACTTCACTTGTTCTTTTACTAGTGGTTTTCTTGGATAGTTTTAATATATGTTTTTAGTGGTTTTCTGCTTTCTAGCACAATTGTTCCTCTGAGAAGTAAATGTTTTTAAAATTCCGGTACCCTCTTTGTATTCCAATTATTATGTTAAGAGTTTTACCTGAATTGTTTTATTTAATCCTCAGCACCCCTGTTTTACAGATTAAATGACTGAGGCCTGGAGCAGTTAAGAATTTGCCCAAAGAAGGTCTCAAGCCAATGAACCAGTAGTGGCTCCGCTAAGAACACTAATTAGAAACGTATGTTGCTACAGTTATTTTCTTAGCATCCATTCTCAAAATATTCAAGTTTCAAAATGAGACATTTTGATTTTCACTTTTTTCTTGGTTACCCTTAGTATCATTCATCTCTTGGTTTCCTCTTCTTTATGATTAAGGTTATATCACTTATCACTGTGACAGCAATGTAAATATTAATCCAGGACAAAACATTCATCTCATCTCCCTAAACTCATACCCTTCAAAGACATCACCGCAATCTCTATCCTGACATTGGACCATTCTCCTGAACGTCAAACTGTATTTCCCAGTCACAGCAAAACGTCTCTTCCTGTCTGTCCTCAGACATCAGAGTCCCAACATGTCCCAAATGAACCTTTAGTACCTCCCTCCAACCTATTTCTTCTCTATTTCTTATTTCCATTAATAGTCTTTCTACTTCATCAGCTAGCCAAGCTAGAAACCATGGAATTATTTATGATTCCCTTCTTACTCCCATTCTTTACTTCTGACCTGTTAACAAGCCCTGGTTATTTTAACTTTCTAATGCTCACTACTATCCATTCCCATTGCTATTGTTTTGGGTCAGTTATCATCATTTCTCATGTAGATTGCTATAATAGATTCTTAATTCCTCCTTCTTCCAGAAAACCCTCTCATCTACTGTCCACTGTAGCCCAAGCTACTTGAAAACA